TGTCGCGGAGAACCTAACGGGTAACCGGGGCTCCGGCTCGACGTGCAGGAGAAGGAACGGGGTGGTTTTTAGTCAGTAAGAGTCTGACACTCCCTCCCGCCTCACCCAGGCGGGAGCAGTAATTCGATGATGTTCCCCCCTTAAAAAAAATCCGTGGTGGTCTGATGGCGCTTAAGGGTGTTTTTAATATCGTGCGGATTTCGTCACGCGTGCGGTATTGCCCCGCATGCAGAAAATTTCACGCAGCGTGAAACCCGATAGTCTACCCGCGTCCGTATTCCACGCATTATAATAAATACTTTTATGAAAAGGACATTTGCGGGGCTTACGCATGCGGGGCAATCCCGCACGCGTGATGATATCCGCACGATATTAAAAACACCCTTAAGGCGAGCGCGGAACGCGACACGCCGCACATAGGAGTATTCGTATGTTAAAATCGGTTAAAAGTCAAAAGTAAAAAATTACTCAAAAATACTTTCAAACCATTTTTTGTATAAGTTTAATAACCAGTCTGTCAATTGACCGCCATAATACTTCTACCCGCACTTGACTCTTATCGTGAAGTAAGTTGAAACGCAGTCAATTTTAGAATCGCACGTCTTTGTTTGCGACGCTTTCGTTTGTGGTGTTTAGTTCTTTCGTTATTGTAGTTTCGCGTGGTTGTCCTCAGTGAAAATATTATTTTAATATGGAAGTGGAAGGTATCTACCGTAATTAAATACGTAATTTTATTATTTTCTGTTTGTATTATACGTATAGGAACTATATTTAACTTGACCTTTAAGAGCATTTATTATTACTTTTAATTTTGTTATAACAGTGTTTTTGTTTAAGTGTCTGGTCTTGTCCAGCTATATTTATTATATAGAGACAAAATTTAGGCTTATACCAATCATATATCACAATAAAATTGTCCGCCTTAATCCGCCATTTTGTTTTTTATCCATTCGAAGTTAATGCACGTGAAAGTGTAAGTATTTCAACATTGTAATTTTTTCTTTTTGCTCTCGTAGATTCTTCTAAAGCCACCAGAAAAATTACCAGTAGAGCTTTATATGACATCTTGAATGAATACAAGGGGAAAAAAATGAATGAAAAGTTTTCTTTAATGGAAAAAAACTTGTGGAAATGACTAAATGTCTAAGTGATCAAAAAACTGTTTTAAGTCGGGCCCTAAGGTGCTTCAAGAGTGAATTCAAGAAGAAATGGACAGCCAGTAGTTAAAAGGATGAAGGATTCTTGAAAAATAACGAAAATCGATCTAAAAAGACGATTTAAAGTAATCTTAGAAGTAATTTCAAGTGGCGACAGCATTGATGTTGGTAAATTTGGAGCCTATGCACATGAAACTGCTGAAATGTACACAAATTTTTATGGTTGGCATCCTATGTCACCAACTATACACAAATTTTAATGCATGGTGCCAAAGTCAAGACTGCAATCCTACCTATTGGTCAATTATCGGAAGAGGCAGCAGAGGCCCGCAACAAGCACATACGGTATTATAGATTAAATTTTTCTCGAAAATTTTCCCGAGTTGATTGCAACAGAGATATATTAAACAGGCTGTTACTAAGTTCACACCCGTATTTAAGTTGTAGCAGACCAAAGGTACACAAGAAAAGTAAGCCATTTTCGATGAAAGCAATCAGTCTTATGGTCGCAAGTACACCGCCTTTACATCCAAATGAAAATAATGGCGAAAAAAGTATGGAAGAAGACGAAGAACATGAAGATGAACAGCATGAGTCTGTCTAATCTTTTATTTAAAATTTGTATAGGTTTTTTTTAAATAAATATTTCATCATCATCATCATTTAATAAATAAATATAAAATATCATTGAACTTCGTCTTTCATTCGATGAAATTGCAAAAAAATGCGAAAAATAATTTTGACCAGTTTTATTATGCGAATACTCCTATGTGCGCCGTACGCTCGGGTCGGGTTGATCTAGTCACGCCTGCGTTAATATTACGCCTATGTCACTGTGAAATGATAAGCAGAGATGTAGAAAACTCCACATGTTTTGTAGTGATAACATTATACATCTCGCCATTTTTACTTGGAAAAGAGGTTCTCATTTTGACCTATATGTATGTTTCTGCGAGCTTATCTCGCGATTGGCTGAACCGATTTTGATGCGGTTTTCTGAAAAGTGTATGTTACACTTAGGAGTTTTAGTATATTAATTAACCGACTTCAAAAAACGAGGGGGTTGAAGTCGGTTTTTTTATTTCCACATACTTAATTATAGGTTAATTACTTAGTAGGCAGAGCTGCACACCCTTTGAGTACCGTCATTATAGACACAATTAAAGAACAATAGGTTGCGGTCACCGGTGTCCTCGCGGTGTTTGACAGTTTAATCAAATATAAGATACCTACTTACTTTTTTCCACTTGTCCTATCGTCCTATCTGTGCCATGTAGGTATTGGAACTTTTCGAAAACTGAAAAACTTAGTGTTATTTTGTTCGACACACGCATCAAATAACCTTTGTGGAAGTGTGGGAGAGCCATGCTTCGGCACGAATGGGCCGGCTCGACCGGAGTGATACCACGGCCGAGCAGAAAACCGATATGAAAAACGTTTGGGTTGTTTCTCGTCGGTTTTCACCTTCTTTATATGTTCTGTTTTCATTCACACGACGCCATGTGAAACAACGCAAGCGTTAATGCCTACCGGTTAGGAAGATTACCGGAGGCCCAATCACCCGCCTCCCAATCCCCGAATCCAACAATCCTCAAAAGTCCTAACCCCCAAAAGCCGGCAACGCACTTGTAACGCAAATTTCAGGTGTCCATGGACGACGCTGATTGCTTACCATCAAGTGATCCGTCTATTCGTTTACCGGCTTATCCCAATAAAGAAAATTCACGCGTGTAATGTTGTTAAATGTAAACAAAACTTGTTATTATTAACAGCTATCGATAAGAAAACGTACAACTGAATTTACAAGGCAACTTTCCGCATTTGTCACATAATCAATTTCGTAAAAAATACCTAACAACTTTACGTTTAAAAATTCTTACCTTTTACACGCAATAGTCCATAAATAACACTAAATAAACCACCTTTTTAAATAAACAAATAAGTATTCATTATAGTTAATCACTGACACACACAGTTTTTGATAAAACGGCGCGTAATTTTTTATTGTTTATTAACGTTTTTCGCGCGCCATGCTATGACACGACCGCGCGCTTCCACCGGCGTTCGTTTTTCAAATAAAGTATCCAAGATGGCCGCTTGAATGACAAGGTGGTGTTGGGAAAGTTGTCGATATTTTTTTTCTGTGTTTATTTTTTTCTTTTGCAGGTCACTTTCAACCGGCCGATGTGTAGTTATTGGGGGAGGACTTTGGAACCAAGTGAACATAATGTGGCTGATATGATATTTTATTTTATGTTTTTATGTTATGTTAATTTTAGTTTTATTAACCGACTTCATTGTGGCTATATTTGCTTCCACTTTATGTTATTATACAAATAATTTGATAGTCGCGGTATTTAAGTTTATACTTAATTTATTCATAAACAATTTATGATATAGCTCTGTTATAGGCAATTTCAATAGCATATTGTTGATAGAATTACCTTCCAGAGACTGATGATAACTATGACGTGTCAAAATTACATTTCTAGTAGCCTAATCTTTTGACAGATTAAACGTTTTCTATCGTATGATTTTGTCTGACACTCCCTTCCGCCTCACCCAGGCGGGAGCAGACATTCGATGATTTTCCCCTCTTAAAAGAAAAAAATCGTATGATTTTTAATGATTATTTTAATAATTAGGCAGGAAGTTTAAGTTTGTACCTGTATATTTTTACAGCTAATCATAGGGACAGCACATTGAATATCTACAATCAGTTATTATTGTTTAACTGAACATAATTATATTTTGTTATATTTCATGGATAAACAAATTATTAGGTACCTACGTCAAATTATTCATTACTAAACTGGCCCTTGCTTGCATAAGCTTGCGAAATTATAAAAATAATAAATCCTATAAAATTGAAGGACGAGAGTAATCTCTAGTACGCACAACGTTAATTTTCATTAACGTATTTTATGTTTTAAATAATACTAACGGAAAATTTTGATTAACTCGTCGAGTACCGGTTTTGTAGACACAATTATAGAACAATAGGTTGCGGTCACCGGTGACCGCTTGGTGTTTGACAGTTTAATATAGAAAAATATGCATAGACAACCGTAGATTAAACTGTCAAACACCGCGAGAACACCGGTGACCGCAACCTATTGTTCTTTAATAATCTACGTGACTCTGTCATATTCTTTAATTTTCGACTGTATTATTTTGTTATAAAGTCGCCAATCTAATGAAAATATGTGAAGTAAATGAAGTTTTACCTCCTGCGTCTGTATATGAATTTTATCTCCGTAACTAAATGGTGGAGGTCAGTTAGAAAGATAACATTCGTACTGAAGATAATATTGATTTTAACCAACACTAGTCTACCTCACTTAAATGAATACCTTATATGGAAAACATCTAGAAAAACTGATATAAACATAACAAATTGATCACATGGTTGCAAGCAAGTATTTATTATCGAGTAAGGGATCTCTTCAGGAAGTATCATTGTGCTTTTAGTCTTTAGAGAGTAGCAAAGCAGTATGGTTTTGCAAATTGCAACCAATCTTAATTTGGGAATTGGTGAGTTGAAGTTTAGCAAAGTGGACTAAGGAGACCTTTGCAGCAGTTGATGTTTCATCCAGTTAATGACGATGATATTTATGAATGACATTTAACTCACAACACGATACAATCTTACTATTATTGTACTTAAATGTCAAAGTTTATGACTTGGTGTGTATGTCTGTTACTCAATCACGTCATAATAGCTGAAGGGATCGGGATGAAATTTGTAACAGGGATAGATTATAGTCTGAAATAACACATAGGTTACTTTTATTACTATGGGAACGCGACCACAACCGCGGGTAGAGGGTAGTAAGAAATCTTTTGAAAATATAGAGGTAAAAGGCGTATATCATTATATACTGTCGATAAAGAAGTTTCATGTTACTATGCATGTATATCAAATGAAAATCAATTAAAATTCACGGTATATTATATTATTTACATAATTTGTCAAGCTTCGATTACATTATTGGATAACAGTATACCTGCGTGGGCAAGTTTAAAGTCTTGTATGTATCAGCGTAAAATATTCACGTTCAATGAAAAATTATTTTCAATTATTTTGGTAGTATTTGTATGGTTAGTAGTCAAATGGAAGTTATGTTTTTTAACAAATTGTATATTTTTTCTTTTTAATTATACCATTCTGCATAGTTTTGGTATTAGTAACCTTAGCTATTAGTATCTAATTATTAATACATTTAAATTATATGTTTAGGTGCTAGTATTTGCTATAAGTGGCCACTGCTGACTAAAGACCTCTTCTCACACTTTGTTTGAACATTAATCACCACGCTTCACTTTCAATGCGGGTTGGCGATTTCCAACCTATAATTAGAAATTTTAAACCCCGGTTTCCTCACAATGTTTTCCTTCACCGTTCGCCAGTGGCGTCTAAATAATCTCAGAAAGTATGTATAATAATAAACGTATGATATTTTTTTACCAATAGCAACAGCATATGTATTAAGTAGTGTGTTTGAGATTGTTGTTTTTATAATATTCTTGTTTTTTTACACTCCTTAGTGAGGTCGTCGTACGTAGCCTGTCAGTCAATCAATCACCGGTAACAAACAGGTTTTAGATATACAGGTAAGTATACTAATATAATTATTACGTATATTTTCCCTATACAGGATATTACCTGCAAATTAAACTAACTAATATGCAACTTTTTTATAGAACAGTGCAGCACATAAACAGATAGATCATCTGATGGTAAGCAATCGCTGCACATAGACACCCATAAAACCAGAGGAGTTGACAAAGATATGTTTGTTGCCAGCCTTTTAATGGCTGCGGATTCGGAGATCGATGGTCCCCATAATCACATGTCGAATTAAAACTTCAAACGCCGCGGAAGACGTAAAAGGTGGTTTTAGTTAGTAAGAGACACTCAAGCGATAGGAGTCATTAGATGATTTTCCCTCATGAAAACAAAAGAAACAATATTGTAACATGCTGGTTTTCTCTGAGTAGTATCGCTCCAGTCGCTTCCTTCATTTCCATGTAATATTTATGAGCAGTAATACAACAGCTGACTTTGATCTAGACCTAATTTGAGTGCGTCAGTCAATATACATACGCAGTTTATCTAGCTCAATTTCAAGAAATTCTGCCATATGTTTTATCTAGAGACGCAGCTGTGGCATTCGCTATCCACGCCGAAACAAAATAAATCATTATTTATAGCAACTTTGTTACCGCAAAAATGCTCGTCGGAAAAATTTTACTCAACCAATGTTTGTTTTGTAGATCTCTCTACAAGGTCAAGATAATTGTGGATTGTTTTAAATTTAATAATATTTCCGTAAGTATATTTATGTAGATGTATTTATGTGGTATAATTTAGTATTATGGCTGTTTTTCTGTTTAGAATTTTGGTACTTGCAGCATTAAGATGTGTTGCGAATTCTTTTTTATCTGCAGCCATCATCGTCATCCTCTTCATCGTCATGTCAAACACAAAACGTCCACTGCCGAAAATAGACCTGCTACTATGAACATGCTCACATTAATTTAACTTGCTCATTACATTAATTTTACTTTCGTATGTATGTAAATATAATTTTAGTGTAACTAACTCTTTGTGTGATCCACAAATTGTCGTTCCGGGTCTGGATGTGATGTGTATGCAAACTTGTATGTTTGTAAACGCCCCCACGACACAGGAGGAATTCCAAAGGACGGGGCAACTTTTAAATTTTTTATATTAAAGGATTTAACATCAAAGATTACCTACGATGACTTATCACCTAGTTTTATGAGTTCATGGCATATCCCTTTAGAGAATTGAAATATAATAATATGTCAATTTTATATTATGTTTGTTAATAACTTTAACTTCCAAACTGTTTGCGTTTAACAATTTAATTTGGTACATTTAATAACTCAAAGAACCAAATGTTTGTTAAAATCACTAATACCAAAAACAAGTAATACATAACAATCAATATTACGTCAAACGGTTTTAATGAGCTCTTTTCTTGTAACAAACCCTTACGTTTGATATCCATAATGGAGGTGTTTGAGGAAAACAATAGATAATAAAGATTACGAGTGTGTACCTACTAAATATTAAATCAATGTCATCAGGAATGGGGTAAAATTCCAATGACTCAATTTAACCCAAACTAACAAACAAACGGGACAAGTTAAATAAAACCGTTAAATAAAAACTACCCCATCATTGAAACTACTACATAAAATGTTCTATTTTATCGACATCGACCCGAACACATCACTAGAAACGTGGAACACCGTGTAATTTGGTGACACGAAGCGACAGTGGACATCATTATGTTGTCTATGATTAAACTTGACACACACATCGTACAGACATGTTTTAAGTGCATGTATACGTACAATAACCTCGCCGTAGAATGATGGGTGACAGCAGAGAAGAATCGGTATATCAGTGTCCACCTCTGGGTACTCTCCCCGCGTCTGTTGTTAGGCTTTTTTTTAAGGGGGGAAAATCATCGAATGACTGCTCCCGCCTGGGTGAGGCGGGAGGGAGTGTCAGACTCTTACTGACTAAAAAACACCCCGTTCCTTCTCCTGCACGTCGAGTCGGAGCCCCGGTTACCCGTTAGGTTCTCCGCGACTCCGAATCGGAATCGGCCGTATTGGGCCCATCTGTGGTGGTCTGATGGCTCTTTGAGGCGCGCGCGGAACGCGACGCGCCGTATGTTGTTAGGCTTAGGAACTACACATTCAACAGACCGGACAACAACGCTCATTGATCAAAGTCAATTCAAAGAAATAAATATTTAAACTAACTAAACATTAAACAGTTTATCATCATCATCAACAGCCTATAAGCGGCCACTGCTGACCAAAGGCTTCACGGAAAAGGTTTAAGTTTTTATAATAGCTATCGTGAGACATACTAAATTAACTAAAAATCGCAGGTTACTCCCTACAGCAGTTGCAGCAGTAGGCTGCGCGATATCGGCGCGACCGCGCACGTTGCTCATGAGGATGTACCCCTCTGTGGTTCGAACCTAGTAGACCTTTTCTCAGT